TGTCTAGCCTGCAAGCTCGGCTTGACTCAAGGTGGTTTCGGATGAATTCTAAGCCCGTTACTCCACCCGACCCAAAAATATTATTATTTTAATAAATAATATTTTTTTAATTTAAATCTTAAGGTTTTTTCTTAGGAGTGATTTAAAAGTACCCTTTAAAGGTTGCTCACTTTTTATTTATACTAACTTTCTTGTATGAAAATGTATTAGAACTGTCAATGACATATAGATTGTTGGTGTAAAATTCTTCTCTAAATTTATAATTTACATGATCAAAAATTCATACACTTGAGGCCATCAAATCAAGGCTGACTTTAGAAGGTGCTTTTCAAAAAAAAAAAAAACTAATGTGATAAATTTTAATACATTTGGAGAAGATATTAATTAATATGGTAACCTTAAAAAATATCTTTAAAGTACTTGTTAATAAAATTCTTAATTTTAAAAAATATATAATAGTATTGAAATATTAACATAAAAATATTTTTTACTAATATTTTATATTTAATATACATAAATAGATAAAACATGCCGATTTCAAGTACAAACTAAATTTTCCAGGTATCAATCGTGCCGACACAAGTAATCCAAATACATCTTTTGCCATGCAATTATATTTTGGTACAATATCTTTTAACAAATATTTTTGTTAGTAGTTAATAGTTAATTATCTGTTAATTTTTTGTGATTGTTTATTACTAAGTTTTGCGAAAATTGTTTTTAAGTTTATAGATAATATTTTCTGTTATATCTTTATTCAGAAAAAACCTATTTGTTTTTTACAAGAAAAAAGCCAAAATTTGTGTTGTTGTAAGTGAAGGTTGCAACAAACATTTCATAGCCGGCCTAGCCTCATCTCAAACAAAACAGTGATCGCCAGAATTTGATTCAAACGCGTACCATCTAAACAGAAAACTCTTAGGAATCCCTCAGATTTGCCATTCCTAGTTATAGCAACGCGTTTCGCCTTCTCATCAATTTCCATATATAAACACAATACTACTCAAAGAATCAATCATCAACTCCAAAACAAATTTACACCCAAACGCCAAAAACACAAAAGTGAACATTCCATTCTCCCTCAAGTTTCCTGTTGTTTTTCGTATTACGAGTAAAATGAACCCAATGGCAGCCTTAGGAGGAATCTTGCCAATGCCAGCACCGGCCAATGCCTATACGCCGCCGACTGACCCCATTGTGGTGATTGGGGAACAGTTCCTTGCCCCATATCCTGTGGAACTTAAAATACAACAGAAAGTATTTACACTTGCAGAAAATAACTTTGATGTTACTGACGTTAATGGTAGTCTTATTTTCAAGGTTAAAGGTAAGTTATTCAGCATTCGTGATCGTCGCGTTTTACTTGACGCAGCTGGAAATCCTCTCGTCTCTCTCCAACAGAAGGTAACTTTTCCATTTATTTAGTTTCATTTATCTCGAACAATGCTAGTTTTCCGAATATGTGTTCTAACAAACACAGAATATTTTCCGACTCATTTCGATCTACAATTTTCAAACATATATCTCTTCTATTTAATTGATTATCATATCATTAAATTTTCTTATTCTTCAAGAAACCCAAATATTTTTTTTTAATTCATATTTCATTCTTTACGGGTTAGTAATATCATAAGTCAATGGCCCTTATCATTAATTAATGTAATGGAAAGAAGATGTGGATATATATGATTGCAAATTGCAAAAATTTCATGTGAAATCAACCATTTAATTTGTTTAGTAGCAAATTAAGATCAAAATTTAATGGTATTTATCAGTATCATAGTTGAAGTACCGAATCAATCAAGACATTGATAACTTGGTACTTAATGTCTGTTTTTTATTTGTTTTTGTTCAGATATTGACTGTGCATAGGAGATGGCAAGTTTTTAGAGGAGAAAGCAACAGCTCCATTGATTTGCTTTTCAGTGTGAAGAAATCGTCTTTCCTCCAATTGAAGACAACATTAGACGTTTTCTTGGCTTCCAACACTAGTGAATCAGTGCCTGATTTCAGGATCAAAGGGGGCTGGCATGAGAGCGGATGCACCATCTATGCTGGAGAGACCGTAATTGCACAGGTAATTCATTGCACGTAAACGTTTAAATTAATGTCATACACATGAAGAGATTATCATTGTACAGATAATATTGTTACCATCTTGATAGTATTACACTGTTCAACAAACATAAATAAGAATTAAAGAGTTTGATATTGGAAATCCTGGAACTCATTGATGGATACTGATAATGCAGATGCATAGAAAACACAGCTTGCAAACCGTGGTATTCGACAGAGACAATTTTGGAGTGACTGCATGCCCTAATGTTGATTTCGCATTTATTGTTACTCTGGTGGTGATTCTAGATGAAATCAATGCTGATCGTAGTGGCGAGGACTGAACATAAACTCCCTAATCCTTATCATGTTACACCACTCTGCTTTCTCCCTTTGAGTTTGAGTGCAAACTTGCTGATGTACCCACATATCATTATTTTTTTTTCAAAAGTGAATTTTATTCTTCCATCATCGGTAATGTCATGACAAGTCTTTATCTTAATTGATAGAAAACTTTAGTGGCATAGGACACCTAGTGAGGGCAAGATCACTGTACAATTGCAAAAGTTTTCTAAGTGTGAATTTTGGCTCAATAGTGTTAGTTTTTTTGGACCACATGGTGTCCAAGATTGAGATGGTGAAAAAATGATTGAAACCCACCCCAATGATGGATGTCTATTTTATATTTGTCTTTATCATTTTAATTCTTGAAATTTGTTCTTAACTTTTCAATGGAATTCCAAAAAATCATTTTCTGAATCTTCATTTTAACTTAATCAAAGAATTCTTTGAGTTAATACATGTTAAGAAACAATGGGTTATATCTCTTAAAGATCAATTAAGGTGATATATCTTTTTATTGATCATTCATTTGTTTTCATGTCTTTCATTCTATACCAATATCCCCTGATCGTACATCCTTAGTTGAGACTACTTAAGATAGTATCAAAATATAACAATCTCTATATAAGATTACTTGATAATCTCAAGTCTAAGAGTCACTTATACGATTGACATTTGAGAATATTTTCACAAATGCTTGAGTAAACTACAAAATGAAATTCTCATGGAGAATCAGATTCAATGAATATATTCTTCTAATAAACATCCATATATTAGTTTCAAGTATCTCTATGTTTTAACTTAAATATGGAACCAATTGCTTACTCATAAGAGATATAATATGCATTAGGTTTTGACTTTATCAATATCCTATCTTGATAAAATATTTATTAGGAACTTTTAAATACTTTAATACAATAAAAATTTCATAATTATAACCCTTTTTAATCTTTTACAAGACATATTCATTCCATGAACGTTATCTTTATAAGTAAATAACATAAAAATGTATAAACTCCTGAATAAAAAGGACCTTTTATTAGTTACAATATATAGAACAACATAAATTTTCTACAAAACATATTGATTCGCTCGTGGCGTGCACGTGGACGGCATCAGTAGCATACAATTTTATGTAGCAAAAACTAACTAATATTGTTACTCTAACTTTTAGCTGTACTTTTTTCACCTTTAATAACATTTTAAAAAATATAGTCATTGTTAATGTATACAATCTTTATCCTTGTATTTTATTTAAAGTATTGTAAAATTTATATAACACAATCAAATCTCTAAAACTATAGTCAAAAGGTAAAAAAGAGTACAACCAAAAAGACTTTTAACAGCATTATAAAAAAAAGGTGCGGCCAAATGTTAAATTAGTTGTGAGGTGATTTTTTTCATGAATATGGTATATTTTATATATAAATTTTATTTGATTGTAATTAAAATTTTTATTTATAATTGTAACCTCATAAAAGAAATTGTATTAATTAGGAACAATGTATCCAATTTTAATTGTATTATATAATTTTGTGAATAAATTTTATTTTAAAAATAGAAACTTCAGTTGCAGGTGTTCACGAATTGGGCTACATGTCTAGCTTGCAGGCTTGCTTCTCTCGAGTTGACTTGGGACATGAATTTTAAGCCGTGGCTCAATTCGATCCAAAAATACTTTTACTTTCAAACATAATACATTTTTATTTAATTTTAATTTTAAGTTTTTGCTAGCGAGTGCTTTAAAAGTACTCTTTAAAGTGAGCTCACTTTTTATTTATAGTAACATTCTTGTATTAAATGTAATAGTTGATAAGCAATGTAATGACTTATAATACATTGGGAGAAAATATTAATTAAGATGGTAACTTTAAAGAGTGTCTCCTAAGTACCTGTTAATAAAATTCTTAATTTGAATGTATTTATATAATCGTATAAAAATATTAACATAATTTTTTTTAATATTTTATATTAAATATACATAAATAGATAAGACAAACCAATTTCAAGCGCAAACCTAAGTTTTTCGAGTAGGAATTGTGTTGACACATCTAACCTAAAAACATCTTTTGCCATGCAATTATATATTGGTACAATATCTTTAAACAAATTTGTTTGTTAGTCCTTAATATTTAATTATCCGTTTTCTAAGTTAATTATCTGTTAATTTTTTGTGATTGTTTGTTACAAAGGTTTGCGAAAATTGTTTTTAAATTTATAGATAATATTCTCTGTCAGTCCTTTATTCATAAAAAACCTATCTGTTTTTAAAAAGAAAAAGGGTTTTGCGTTGTTGTAAGTGAAAGGTGCAACAAACATTTCATGGCTGGCCTGGCCTCATCTCAAACAAATCAATGACTGCAAGAATTTGATTCAAACGTATACCGTCCAAACAGAAAACTCTGGGAATTCCCCAGATTTGCCATTCCCAGTTATAGCAGCTTGTTTCGCCTTTTCATCAATTTCTATATATAAATACAATACTACTCAAAGAATCAAACATCAACTCCAAAACAAATTTACCCTCAAATACCAAAAAACACGAAAAGGAACATTCCAAATTGTCTCTCAAATTTCTTGTTGTTTTTCCTGTTAAGTGTAAAATGAACCCAATGGCAGCCTTAGGAGGAATCCTGCCACTGCCAGCACCAGCCAATGCCTATACACCGCCCACTAACCCCATTGTGGTGATTGGGGAACAGTTCCTTGCCCCATATCCCGTGGAACTTAAAATACAACAGAAAATATTTACACTTGCAGAAAATAACTTTGATGTTACCGACGTTAATGGTAGCCTTATTTTCAAGGTTAAAGGTAAATTATTCAGCATTCGTGATCGTCGCGTTCTGCTTGATGCCGTTGGAAGTCCTCTCGTCTCTCTCAAACAGAAGGTAACCTTTTCATTTATTTAGTTTAATTTATCTAGACCAATGCTAGTTTTTCGAAAATGTGTCTTAAAAGACACAAAATATAATTATGTTATATATATGTTCCAAATCATTTCGTTTTAAAATTTACAAATATGTATTTCTTTTATTTAATTGATTTCTATATCATTAAGTTTTCTTATTCTTCAAGGAACTCAAATATTTTTTTCGAATCCATATTTCATTCTACAGGGTTAGTAATATCATAAGTGAATGACCCTTATCATTAATTAATGTCATGGAAAAAAGATGTGGATTGTGGACATATACATGATTGCAAATTGTAAAAAGTTTCATGTGAAATTAAACATTTAATTTGTTTAGTAGCAAATTAAGGTAAAAATTTAGTGGTATTTATCAGTATCATAGTTATAGTACCGAATCAATCAAGACATTGATAACTCGGTACTTAATGTCCGTTTTTTATGTGTCTTTGTTCAGATATTGACTGTGCATAGGAGATGGCAAGTTTTTAGAGGAGAAAGCAACAGCTCCAATGATTTGCTTTTCAGTGTGAAGAAATCGTCTTTCCTCCAATTGAAGACAACATTAGACGTTTTCTTGGCTTCCAACACTAGTGAATCAGTGCCTGATTTCAGGATCAAAGGGGGCTGGCATGAGAGCGGATGCACCATCTATGCTGGAGAGACCGTAATTGCACAGGTAATTCATTGCACGTAAACGTTTAAATTAATGTCATACACATGAAGAGATTATCATTGTACAGATAATATTGTTACCATCTTGATAGTATTACACTGTTCAACAAACATAAATAAGAATTAAAGAGTTTGATATTGGAAATCCTGGAACTCATTGATGGATACTGATAATGCAGATGCATAGAAAACACAGCTTGCAAACCGTGGTATTCGACACAGACAATTTTGGAGTGACTGCATGCCCTAATGTTGATTACGCATTTATTGTTACTCTGGTGGTGATTCTAGATGAAATCAATGCTGATCGTAGTGGCGAGGACTGAACATAAACTCCCTAATCCTTATCATGTTACACCACTCTGCTTTCTCCCTTTGAGTTTGAGTGCAAACTTGCTGATGTACCCACATATCATTATCTTTTAACTCGAAAAAGATTGCTGATGCTGAAGACTCCTTTGATATCTACAAAAGATATATATCTATATGTGTTCATGAAATTAATTTGACTGCCCATTTTTTAGTTCACATTTTGCTAGTTGAATTGAAAACAATATTGCTCATTTGTTAATATAGAAAATGCCTTTGAATTGAACTTGAAAAGCTGGCAAAAAAGTAATGACAATAAGTAAATAAACCCTGACTACCCCTCTGCAGTAGTTTTTGCTGGAGCATGGGCCAGCTTATGTAGATAGAGTAGCGCATGAGTCATGAAGAGCGGAGCTTTTAATTTTGTTGGTGATTGCATGCCCGGTGTGCTTTATGGTCGGGACGTTTCAAAAGTAGGAGTATCCAAGGCTGTGATAGTAGCCGAAAACCCACCCCTTTTTGTTCAGGCTTGGGGCACGTCAACATCCAGAAATTGAGTGCGAAATTTAAGAGAAGAGGGGGAAGGAAGGGTAGGATGATTGTATCCATCAATGCCCAGAAAAGCTTTTTGCTTTTGCAATTTGCAGTGAATGGAGAATGATTGTATTTCCATGGAAGACCTGACGGTCGCACATGGAATGATGGGGATATATGAGCGTTGACCTGCTTTTGCTTCCAATTTCCCTCACCATAAAATGAGCAAAGTCCTTCACAATCACAAATCACAATGGATACAAGTCTTAATTCCTTTGTGAAGCTTGGAAGCAACTCTTTTTGTGTATCTTCTATTTAAGGCCCTTCGATTCGCAATTTTTAGTGTTAGATTCGACCCAAAATGATCACCACAATATGTTTCTTATGAACCTATAATTAAATTGAGTTTTATTGCTCAACGATTAATTTCCTTAGTGGAAAGAAAACTAATTGTTAAACTTTCATTACTGTAAGTACAGCCATCTTTACGACTGCATCGTTAATATAAAACCACCAACAACCACAAAGTCAATACGACAATACCCCATTCATACTTCCTCTGAAACACCATGGATCATCAACGTCTTTATTCACAAGTTTTTTTCCTTTTTTTACAGGAAAAATACAAAACAAAGAGCTATATCCTATACTGATCTCCCTATCCTTAACTGGCAATGCCGTGCCTAATTGTTAGCAAATCAAACTGTCAACGCCAAAATAAATGAGAAGCTGATAGTTATGTGTATATATATATATAAATAAATGAGAGAGGTTGATAATTATATGTATATATACATACATATATTGTTGAGGGAAATAAAAATGGATAGTGGGTATACGTATAAGTAAGGATGATGATCGATCACTGCAAATTAATTAATTCTTGGGGCAATATTTGATATATAATAATTAATGTTGCTTGAGTCAAAGATTTACGCTTCCAACCACTATAAACTTAAAGGTCACAATCATTTTCCATTAAATTAACGAATCTTGAATATTATTATGTATTATCTTTTTTATTATGCTTGTTGTTGTTGTTATCATTTAAATTGAGAAGAAAGAGTTTGGTTGGCTCCACCTTGTTTAAGGAGGTGATCATCGTCATCATGCATTCTTCATTTTCGTTTACCCATTTTTCATCTAGTAGTACAATTTTAAGGAAATGGGATTAGTATAAAAAATTATGGTATTTGTTACCAGCAAGGAGGCAGTCAAAGTGCATCAGTGCTTGAGGCTTGAACATATGGAAAATTGCAGTTGAGTTCAGTTTGATTTTTCATTTTATAATCCAAAACCCAAATCAAATACATATACTTATTACCTATACTAAGTATGTTACAGTCTTGATTTCAACCGAACTGAACATTAATGTCTGATTCCTTTTTTAGTTTTTCACAATTTTACGACTCCATGCATATACAAACATATATATATATATATATATATATAATAAGTATATATTAAAATATTAATTTTATAAAAATTAATATGACATTAAAAAATATAATATATATATATATATATATATAGAATTATTTGGAAGAAAGAAGCGATATTTGATGATTAGACACGAGGGTGCGGGTGAGGGTGACATAATTGCATGACAGAGAACAAATGGTTGAAGATATGGATTGCAATGAATGTGGGAATTGGAATTTCTGAGTAAGCGACCCACAAAAAATCAAAGCCAAGGCATATTTCATCTCTCTTCTTTTTTCTATTGACTACTTGTGACTTGCTCCTTTCCATTGTTACAATCATTGGCATTATCCGTAAATTTCTAGGAAAACCTTGTCCGATATCACTTTACATAAATAAATAAATAAATAAAACCAGACAAAGCCGGCCCCATTTTGACAAATCATCTAATAATTAAATTAAAATGCTTATTATACTATATGCTCTGTAGGCTTTGCCTTTTTATAATAGTAATAACAATACAACTAAATTCCACAATGACTTTTGTTTAATTAAAAAAAGTATTATATTATATTACATATATATCCTTTATTGCCAAAAGTTGATAGAAAAGTGGGGAAAAGGAGTTTCCCAGTAAACTCACTCTCCTTTCGCAACATTACTGCGAACACTCGCTCCTCGTAATCTGCTAAATGGTTCACGAGATAAGATTACGCCAACGTAGCGCGTTCCGTTCGCCAGTTAATTAGAGCGCGTGAGTCAGCGCACTCACGCACAAGGGGCGTCCCCAAGCTGGTCTAGAACTAGGGAAAGAAAGTAGGAAAAAGAATAATAATATTTATTAAAAGCAACGAATTTTCCGCTGCAATTTACAAGTTACAATTTCAGAAATTTCTTGCTTAAAAGCCTTTTAAAGGGAGGCAGAGGAACCAGAGAAAGAATTTCCCCCTTTTTTAATTTTTCTCTTCGGCTTTCAGGTTTTTTCCTTTCTCTTTTTCTAGGCATCCAAACAGAAGGTAAGGTGGTGATGTTTTCCAGGGGAATTTGAGGTCGTTGTTTCGGTGGAATTTTCTCGGGAAACAAGCGGAAAGTGTTTTGTTTTTGTAAAGGGAAGAGAAGAGAAGAGACGAGGAAAGATGATGATGATGTCTTCGGCTTCATCGTCAGCAGCAACTGTAGCAGTGGACAAGGCGACGAGCGATCTTCTAATCGGTCCTGATTGGACTATGAACATCGATATTTGCGATTCTGTTAATTCTAATCATTGGTATTAAAAAAAGTTTTTATTTTTTTTTAATTTGTCTGTTAATTTTTGTGAAGGGGTTGACTTTTGAGTTTTTTCAGTTTCGTTTCTTGATTTCTACGTGCATGCTTTTGTGTTGATATTTAATTTTTATGTTTTAGAGATTGTTGTTCTTTAATTTTTCTCATCTCTTCCTTTTGTCTTTGGATTATGTATTAATACGGTAGGATTATGGGTGTTGATTTTCTTTTCTTCAATGGAGTTAATTGATTTTCCTTTATTTATTACTTTTTTTTTTGGGTTTTATGGGAAGAATTATGATTCTTGTAAAAGGATTGAATTAGATGATGCTTATTGAAGAGAAAGGTGATATAATTTTCTCAAGCATCACTGTAAAGTATTTATGGGGACAAGACTAAATGATGATAGACATAAAAATAAGAAACTTTCTGAGCAAAAAACATTTAACAGATAAAAAGCAATAGTATTTGATTTGGTTTTAGTTTCTCTTCTCTGTCTCTGTTATAGTCATGGCCCTTTGCGATTTTATTATTTGTTTTATTACTTTTTTGGGTTTTTGATTTTTTCCCGTGGAAGGGAACTAATATAAACTTTGCTAGTTTACTGATATGTGGACTATGGATGGTTGAATTTCTCAGGCAAGCAAAGGATGTTGTAAAGGCTGTGAAGAAAAGGTTGCAGCACAAGAGTTCTAAAGTGCAATTACTTGCTTTGACGGTAACTTTCATTGGAGATCATTTTTCAAATTCCATTTTTCGTTGTCACATGTGTTTGTGGATTAACCCTGTGTGATCTCCCTTTTGTAGCTTTTGGAGACAATGGTGAAGAACTGTGGTGACTATGTCCATTTTCAGATTGCTGAGAGGAATATATTGGGTGAGATGGTCAAAATTGTGAAAAAGAAGGTAATTCTTTGATTTTACCAACTCAACTGATTTAAGAATTGTTGATTACATTCTTCTGGTTAAAACTGTTACCTCTTACTTTCTTGTCTTTTCTAAAAGGATTTTTTTCTGGTGTAGAGTTATCTTAATTCAATGGTTTTTAGAATGCATAGAACTAGCTCAGAGCCATTAGGTTTCAAGGGGTCATTGTCATATATGGAGCAAAAGCGTACAATAAAAGCAAGGAGGGTTGAAATGTAGTTGTGGGATGTAGATTGTTGTGCATATGGTAAGATGTTGGAGGAAAAGTAAATGATGTAGCAAAGTCCTCTGCAAGAAGACAATTTTGTTTTTGTGTTGAAGGCATTCTCCATTCCTTTTAACTGTTGGCTGAAACTAGTGTTCTTGAACCTATGTACCACACACTAACAGTGATAATTGCATCCCAAATTTAAGTTTGGTTCATGTTATCTTGGAGGGCAGGAATTTTTTTGGATGGATGGCATGAATGGTGTAAATCCAAAAGTGATGGGTGTTAGAAATTATTGAACGCGTCACTAATGTTGAATGGTAGTGTTTGTCTGGGTATTTTGCTTTTGAGGAGAGTTTGATTACCAAGTCATAGGTTTGCAGAAATGCAGTTTCTTTTATCCATGTTTAGTCTTTTGATGCATGGATGTAGCATCTCACTTCCATTAATTTTGATCTTGCTGGTGTTTGATCATTTTGATTAGTATCATTGTTTGTTGAACTTTGTGTAATCTGAATGCTTCTCAATCTGCCGGTTTTAATTAGCCTGACTGACGGAATTCTGCAGGCAGATATGGTTGTGAGGGACAAAATCTTGGTTTTGTTGGACTCTTGGCAGGAGGCATTTGGTGGTCCTGGTGGTAAACATCCTCAGTACTACTGGGCATATGATGAGCTAAGGGTAAGCATGGTACCTTAAGTAGTTAGATGTCATATTGGACTGGCATCATGGACATGATCCAGGATTTCACTTCTAAGGTCAATTGCTCTCATTGTTGTTGACTACACTAGTGCATCTAAAATGATATGACTGTACAAATGGCAGCGTTCTGGAGTAGAATTTCCCAAGCGTTCATTGGATGCTTCTCCTATCTTTACACCACCTGCTACCCATCCAACCATGAGACACAATCATCCTGGTTATGGAATGCCAAGCAATTCTTCTAGAAGGCTTGACGAAACAATGGCTACAGAAATTGAAAGTTTAAGGTGTAAATTCACTTTAGTTTATATGTTGTTTAGAAAGTTTCTTTGTTCTTCTTTTGCTGTTTTCTCCCACTCCTTTCTTTTGGCTGAAATTTTCCTTGATTATCTTAGTTTATCTAGCTTGGACTCTATGAGGGATGTTATGGAGCTCTTAAGTGACATGCTGCAAGCTGTTAACCCCGATGACCGTGTGGTATCAACAACAATAATAAAACCGTTTCTTTTGCTTTAGTTTGGATGTAAAATTTAGTTTGGTTGTAAAATCCGTAACTGTACTTTCTGTTTGTATTGGCAGGCAGTAAAAGATGAAGTGATAGTTGATCTTGTCAACAGATGTCGTTCCAACCAGAAAAAGCTGATGCAGATGCTAACAACTACTGGGTTAGTTGTCTCCAAATGTCTCTTATTTTAAAAGCCTTAATGATTTTTTGTACATAGCGTTCTCTATTATCTTTGTTAACTCAATTGTGTATCAGATTGGTCTGCCTGATTGTTGGCCCCAATAGTTGGGAAGTCTAGGACTAATGGCGGAATGACCTTGGAAGTTAAAATCTAGGATTTTGAAAGTCTTTTTTTATTTTATCCTATTATCATCATTAGGGTCCTGTTCTTATCTATGGCATCCACCTTGTTGCTTGTGTTTCTTTGCTCGCACATGAATTGTGTGTTGATTTTAGAAATTCAGAAGTTTTCTTTTGCACAAGGCTTATGTGCAGATATAAAAATTTCTTTCTTGGCTATGTGGCAGGGATGAGGAACTTTTAGTGCGAGGTCTTGAACTAAATGACAGTCTGCAAAGCTTACTCGCCAAACATGATGCCATAGCCTCAGGTTCCCCCTTGCCAATTCAAGTTACTAATGCAAGCTCCAAGCCAGCTGAAGCAAGTACCTCCAACAAATCAAATGAAGTGAAGAACTCAAGCCTAACACCTAATATCAGTCCATCTGCACCCATTGCCACTGTGACAAGAAACCAGATTGATGAAGAGGAAGAAGAGGAAGATGATTTTGCACAGCTAGCTAGAAGGTTTCTATGCTAACTTTTAATTTATCTCATATCTCTTGTTGCAATCTTTGAAATAACTAATTTTTTATTGGTGTATGCTGCTTGCGGTCTGGGGAATCTACCCAGACAGAATCAGAGCATTAATAATTTGTTATGATCATTTATTTGTTGTTTTAAAAAAAAAAAAAGGGTAAAGCAGCACTTGCTTATTAGTTGTTGTGTAGACATACTAGTCAAATCTTTTCAGTAGAACCCATCCCAAGCCTTGATAACTATTCTCGTCCTTTACAGAAGGCCAAGAGCACGCTGACCTGTTCTTTTGTCTCTGATCAAACATCATAGTTTAAATATGTTCAGTTTGGGTCAGTTCTTGACAACATTTCGTTCTGAGTGCAGGCATTCTAGAGCACAGTCCACATCTTCTCAGAGCACATCTGCTGGAACAAGTGAAGGTATTGTGCCCATCAACAATACTGCTCCAACAACTTCGTATGTGCCAGCTGCCTCAACCTCTACTCCATGCAATGCATTAGCTTTGCCAGATCCACCTGCACCAGTTAGGACTACAAAAGAACAGGACTTGATTGATCTTCTAAGCATCACCTTGTCAACAACATCAGCTTCCTCCCCCCATACCCCTCCTACACCGTCTGCATCTTACCAAAATATGCATCAGGTACCTGTTCCTCCTAGTACACAGGGATATCCTTATGCTTCCCAAACCTATCCTGGGAGTCAGAGACAGCTGCCATATGATAGTTATGTTGTTCCTTGGGCCCAGCCTCAGCCTCATCCACAGAAACCATCCCAGCCTCAAATCCAGCCACCATATCATTCCCAACAAGAGGTACGCCCACAATCTCAACATCAAATTGACCAACAATCCCAATCCCAAACCCAGTTCCACACAGATTCCCAAACTCAAATCCAGTCAAATTCACTGTCTCAGGCCCAACCTCAGTTCCAAACACAATCCCAATCTTTACCCCGGCCACAGTCCCAGCCATTGCAGTTACAGGCATCATCCCAAATTCAACTCCAGCCACAATTACAATCTCAACCTCAGCGCCAAGCGCAACAGCAAAATCAACCTCACCTCCAAGCACAGTCCCAAACACAAACTCAGTCATTCTTACAACCTCAACACCAGCCACAATTTCAACCTCAATACCCTCAATACTCATCTGGGTACCCCCCTCCGCCATGGGCTGCTACTCCAGGTTATTTCAACAGCCCAAATCACCTTTCCTCTGCAAATAACATGTTTTCTACTCCCCAAATGAACGTTGCCACATCAAATCCCATAATAGGGAATAGGCCCTTGCAGCATGTTAATTCTTTCCCTGCAAGAGGAAGCAATGGAGCACCAATGAATGGGGATTCCTGGGCGAGTACAGGTCATAGGAACCCCACTCCCGTAGCAGGACAGAAGCCCTTCATTCCATCATACAGGTTGTTTGAAGATTTGAATGTGCTTGGAAATGCAGATGGAAGGCTTAAGATGACAAGCAGTACATCCCCTAGCTTGTCAGGTACTTCTAGCCAAAGTATGGTTGGTGGGAGGAAGTGAGACACTTAAGCATAATGTGAAGGGTATGTCCATGTGAAAATGGTGTAAATCCGTATCTAACGTGGAATTGTCTTTTTTAGATTTGATTGTTATTCATTATTGTCATATTATAATTTTTCTTTGTGGTGCATGATATGTTTATAACCTCTGCCACTTCCATCTTCAGAATTAACGTCTATGCTAAAACTCACTGGGGACTTAAACCTTCCGGTTTAACGTATGAGCCCAGCTGCATCAACAAGGTGATTCCTGTTGTACACGTTGTTTGATTTATAAATTTATCAGCTAAATAATTGTTCGGTGGGATTGTAAATGTAATACTAAGTTACTAATAACGAAGCAACAGAGTTGGGTTGAAGCCGAACGCTTACTATGCCTCCGCCCATAACTAATCTGAAATTATGATAAGTAGGTCGCTTTTACAAATCAAGTAAAGAGATGGAACAATGGACACACAGAAAAAGGATGAAATAATAATGGGAAATCTATTTACATGCTTTTACCTATATAACAAATTATTTGCCAAAGCCCCCCCCTCCCCCATAAATATATGCAGGATGGGATTTCTTTCTAACATGTATGACCATCTACACCGGAGGCTAATGAATATATCTCTATATATAGCGTACAATCAGCTGATTGTGCCCCACCCCCCCTGAATTTCCAGGAACACCCCATAGTGAATTTTCGAGAATGTGGCAGCATCATCATCATCATCATCCAAACTCAAAACATTGCACCCCATTGACCTTGATCTCCATATCCATGACACCATTCATCCTCGGTCTGCTGCCTCCCAAATTCTTGAAATTGGGAAAGAATAAACATTCATCTTGACTGAGAGTTGTCATCAGCATAGATAGAGACACAGGCATCAGCAGCACCAGCAGCAAGCCGTACTTGGTACGGATGGAAGGTTAGGCAGCTTACAGAGCCAATCTTCTGGGCCATGAAGGTATGTTGGTATCGAATGGAGCCTAGTTGTTCGCCTTGCAGACTGAAGACTTTGATTAGCTGTTTTGCTGAGCCACTGGCAATTATTGGGGCATGTCTATGAACAGCCAAAGCTGTAAGTGAGCCCCTGAAAGCATCGATTGTAAGGTAAGCATCTCCCTGACTCCTAATATCAAGGAACTGAATATCCCCAGCCTGGGATGCACTGACAATCTGAAAAGAGGACATGAAAAGTCCATCAACTTTCTCTATTTCCACAATCAAAAGCTGAATGAAATGTCTCAATGAGGAACAATGATGATGTCAACACTTGAACATAGCTCTTTTAAGACTCATAAGCTGCTTACCTTTCCTTGATCAAGTCCAGGTTGAAAGCCAATACCCACAACTCTTTCTACTTGCAGAGTATGTGGCCTAGTTGCACAAACCAGCCTAAAACATTAAAATAACAAATTTGGGTCAGACAAAAAATGCAGATTAAAACGTCAGAGCGCGTTTCACTCTGAATTCATAAAAAAAAACCTGATGGAAATTAATAAAATATAAGTAAATAAAGATTAATAATCCATTCAATAAACTAATTGGATAATACTTCACTTCCAATAGTTGACAAAATTCATTAAGGAAGAGGAAAGAATATCAGCTTTTAACTGGCAAAGGGCACAGGATAAATTTTAACTATGGGGAAGGTCACATCATTCAATGCTCAAAATGATAGGTAAAATTATGCCTCATTCCAGAAGAATATATTTCATTATCTTCTCCAAGAAAATGATATTTTTCATTATAGAGTGCATACATCTCAGGTGTCCGGATGTCATAGAGTCTAACAGAACCATCCACAAAACCAGCTGCAAATTGACCACCATGTACTTGAGAAGAAGCCTGTAAATGTAGAAAGAGGGGGGGGGGAAGAGGGAAATCAATGAGGATAATAGGCAACATTAAATAAACTGCCAAAAAAAAGTAAGGAATAATGACAAACTATTAATGGTCAATAGAAGTCTGATGATAAGATAAAATTAAAGAGGTAGATCTTTAACGAAAATGAAAGAGAGAAGTCACAAGCCACTTTAACTCAACTCACAGCTCTGCTGCATTCTCATGGAAAATTTTAGGTGATGGGACATTTCACCAAGAGTGGGATACAATTTCCCGTTGCTAGTTAAAAACCATGTCAGAGACAAACCAAAAACATAATCAAACAAACAAATTAAAAAATAACAAAACAGCTATCTTCATTTACCCATCAAACCCAAGGAACAACATAAATCAGATGCAAAAGCAAGGTTCTAGCAATCTAACATACAACTGAATGAAAATGTTTACCTCCTTTAAAAACAACAAGAGAATTCCTCTGCTAACCTTTGACTCGATTAACTCAATATTCAGGAAAGCGTCCTAAACTAATGAAAGCAACATATTTTAAAGCACAGTACGTTTTCCATTACAGCATGCTTCTTATTTGTCAACTCAATAGTGATATGCAGTAATTTTTCAAAACATATAGCTTGTAAAAGATTACTACTTTGATTAGGTACCTGTTGCCACTGGCATTTATGCAAACATGCTTAATCCGATCGCTTAAACATAAATTAAATTTAAATGCAAAGGAGCTTGAGGACCTAAACTCACCAGTGCTGAGATGCTGCAATCCGAGGATGATGGTATAGAATTAACAAGCTGCTCCTTGTCCAGGTCCCAAAGCATGATGGATGATATCTCTCCAGAAGCATACTAATCGTGTCATCAAAGCAATGGCAAATACTATATTAGGCATCAAATAGTAAGCAAGAAAAACACTCTTAGAGATTACATTCTAGAATAAATACATACCAGATATCCAGATTGCTGCTGCCAGTCCACGACAGCACTCAAACTCCGCACACCAGGTTTGTGACCTTGGATTGAAGAAAATGCAGTAACGAGTTTCTGTTTGCCTCTCACTGTATAATCTTTCCAAACCCGGATATTTCCATCACCTGCATGAGATAAACCCTAAATTAGTTTTACAAAACAAGACCACCACAAATTATTAAAAAAAAAAGGTGGAAAAAAAATTACATGAAGCAACAAGCAACAAGCTCTCATCAAGCTCATTCAAAAGACAGAGTTTAGAAATTCCCTTCTCCGGAAAATCATGATTATCAAAACCATTGAGGGGGGCAACTTCCTCATAATTCCATATCCTGAAAAGAAAAACCAAACAATTAATATGCCAGTAAATACTTTACAAAAATCAATTGAAAATGTCATCCAAACCAAAATCCTAAGGAACAGTGACAAAACTTGTCTAACTCATTTTGGAAGCATTGTCCACTATTCAGTAACAAAACAAAAGCCACTTGTATGAAGAAATTTACCTTTTTAACATTTCATGAAGAAAAGAATTCTAATATTTCAATATATTTGGAAGTCAGCATCAGATCTTCTAAGAAACAAAAATATCAGGCTTCTTGACTTAAGAGATTATATATGACGCACACAGTGTGAATGTGAATCACAACTTGCCACCTCATATATTAATAAGATTCAACTTGATGCATTTCTGGTGCATAACTTATACACTGTCAATGACAAACCTCATCATCTAATTAAAATATTTTAAAATCCTACAAATAAATGTTATAGTTTTCATGAGATGACATAACTTGTCATCAAATATAGACAGTGCATCAAATATAAATCTTATTAATATATATGTTTTATCAAAGAACAAGATACAATTCACTGGGAATTAATAAAATTTTACACTAAAAGTGCATCCCAAAATATCTCAAAAATGGAACTGGCGCTAACACAGAAATCACATACCTGATCCGTTCATTCTCATCTGCTGCAATCACAATAGGAGAAAAAGGGTGCAGCAAGGCTGTTCTTGTGCCTGTCTCAAATCTTGTATCCCAGCAAGCAATTTGACTATTATTATTAAGTTTGCTAACAGCTAGCAAAGAAAATAAGAAACCTATTAGCTCCAAAGTAAAAACTGGTATGAGAATAGTATAAAAAGAACAACAAACAAATAAATTAAAAGGCATACAGGAGTGCTGGCATTTAGCAATATGCTCCAGTGCAAATCTCTCTCGCTCTTCTCTTCTGGCCAATAGTTCTTCACTATCATCTGATGCAGTAAGAAGTGGCTTTGAAAAGTGGCCACAACTAAAATTGTAGATAGTTGATTGCGGAAGTAAACTGCGCTCTGAAGTCCCAGAACCAGAGCCTAAAAGTGATTCAGCTAATCCTGAGTCTGGAGAATTCATCAGATGAGGCCTGAACTCTAGAGAGTAAACTCTACGCATTCCTGCCAAGTAATTTTGACGAGGAGGGCTAACAGGAGGAGTTCTAAATGTTAAAGGCAGATGACCTGTCAACATCATCTCCAAATTAAATCTCATGACTTTAATGTCTAAATAGAATAAAAGATAGAATCATGGCATGAGATATCAAGGAAAAGAAAAGGTCATAATAACCAGGATGATCATTATGAGGAACTAACAGAGAACAAAAATATTTACCTCCATTCATGTCGAACCATGAAGAAGAACGAGCTAGTCCAGCAAAATTTGGAGTTGGTGAGGAAGTTGTGGGTTCACCAGGCCGGCCAGTGCTACCAGAAGACTTCACAGATTTTGTTACTTGTTCAATCCCAATAATTGAAAGAACCCGCCGGCCTAGATTTGCTATGCGTGGAGATGGGTCTTTAGCTAAAGAACACATAGCCAGTACACATTGTGAATACATTGCATTATCCAAAGGTTTTGGCCTTGAATGATGAACTACCCCATTACTGACACCATCATTCAATATTCCAGAATCAGAATGTTGCGATGAATCATCAGATAACGGTGATCCATGCATGATTCCAGCAGTCGCAAGGGGACTGCTGGTGGAAACCCTACCATCCCGAACTATGGCTGTGTTGTCATTTCCAACTCGAATTAAAGGACCTATTTGGGATGAAACTATATTTCCACTTCCTGTTCCATTTATATTAGCCAGTGAAGGCAATGAATTCAACAGGGAATTAGACTGAGGTTTCCAATATGCAGCAGCAATTGACTTGAGGTGCTGTTTATGTCCAAAGGCAAAGCGTGCTAGAGCTGCCAAGACAAAAACAAGGCATCAACATTGATCCACCAATATTATTCACAAACATAGTAAATCTGCAGAACACCCACTCACAACCCCCGTTCAGAAGAGAAAGCAGTTCAAAGACAGAATCATGTACGCACAAAACATGCAAATATTAGGTTCCAGTGATAGAGAGGCTGATAGACAATTCGTATAACAAAGAGTATACTAGGATCATAATACAAGTGGCTCTAACGTTTTGCATCATACCATAGCACAGAAATGTTATACAGAAGCATGTATCTTAAAAAATCTCAGAAGCTCACAATGATTCAGAATTTGGAATATAATAAATCACAGTTAATAGTCCAGCATTTACAACCGCTATAAAAAATTTTCAAGATGTTTCAAACTGTGAAGATTCTGTAAGATTCATTCAACTATGTCACAATAATGTTCAAAAACTGCAGAGAAAACCAAAAGCAATTATCCTAACGCATGAAATATGAATGAGATAACTACTACATACCTACAGCAACTTCTGCCCGGACAAGAGGACTTCCATCAGAAACAACATTCAAAAGACTTTTAATAATAATAATAATCTGAGCTCTACTCTTGTCATCATCATCACATTCTTCATCCCCTCCAACACCATCTCTAAATGAGTCAAACCCAACATCAAGCAAGGTAGCCAACGCAAAAACTGAAGAAGCCCTAACCTGAAGGACAACAGCCTCTACGATTACAAACGTCTGTAAAAAGCAAAATAGAAACTACTAATTTATAAGAGAGATAGATAATTAGTGAGAAGATATACCTCTGGCTGAGGCTCAGAAAGTAGACGAGCACATATTGTAGGTGCATCTGCCTGCAGACCCATCATTTGAGCCTCAGTAAAATCCTCCCATAGCTTTCCAAGACACAGGCATAGCCACTGAAGGAATAAGGGTTCAGTTTGTGCTTCACTTTGCATGGAACCATTAAGGTGCTTTAAGCACACAAGTATTAACCCTGCTTCAATACAGGCTTCCTGGCCCCGTCTATGCCCATCCACAATGACAGCCAGAACAAATGCAGCCATTGCACGCTGTTCAGGATATGCTTCCACACTATTAAGAAACCTAATGAAATAAACATGACCGCCATCCTTTACCAGATCAACCTGACATGACTGCAATCCAAAATGATAGAATTTCAAAGCTACCATAGTATCAGGTGAAAAGAATATGCTAACATATACTGCTGCAAAAGGCATTAAATAGAATAATGGAAGCAGATTCATCTCTTAAGTGTTGACATATAAAACAGCAGACTATCAAAACAGACTAATTTCGGCACCTACAAGAAGTGAAAACCCAGAATTTTCACCAGTACAACACCAATTCTGACCACAGACAAAACTATATAGAAGCTTCCACCATATACAATAGAGCACTCAATAACTACTTAAATGTTAAGTTCAAAGGCAGGCAGGCACATGCTGAGCACAAGTAAATAAGTTAGACTGTATGCAAAAGTAGCTATATTAGCATAAGCAAACAAATATGCATCCCCAAAATAAGCATTTGTGAGCACACCTTATCAAGTGCTAAAATCTTTGTCCATATAAACACAAGGATTTGACGCAGTTCTGGTGTGGTTGTTTGCAACAGCTTCAGAACATATGGAAATATTCCAACAGAAAGGGCCTAAAAAAATGAAACCACTCTGTCAGTAAATATCAGCATATAATGAAACACAATAAAAAGCTCATATCAAAGAATACACCCATCTATAACTACCAGATCTACAGCCCAGGGTCCCATATCAAGGAATCTTCCAAGAAGGACCAGTGCACGGAATCGATGGCATTGACTAAGCAAAACCTGAAACATGAATGACAAGCTGGTCAGTCATTAGATTAAAAATTTTATATAATTAAAGCCATAGTAACTATAAACCATTTGCACGTCACTGTCAGTGGCCCTGCATAACAGACTGCCTATCAATTATGCTTCAAAATAGACTACTCTTTAAATAGACACATCAGCTCAAATTCCTAGTAAATAGGATTTCAATCTAAAAATCAAGTTATTAGCAAAAATGCCAATGGGCGGAGATTCTGAAGGAGCATTTCTCCACCTTACCATTAAAACTTAACCTATAAAACAGAGGACTCAGAAGAAAAAAGAAAAAAAAAACACTATTTAGCCTATATCTCACTAAATTTAAAATCACCATAAATAGAAAGGGCAACCACACAATTGGCCCCATAGCTAGAAGGACCAGGAAATAGTTCAGCACCTGAAGAACGATAGGCAATTGCTCTGGTGGCTTTTTATTCTCAGATCCATGGTCAAGCCATACTTCAAAAGCTGTCAGCTGTTCAGTAAAAAATGGACTCGACTGAAACAAAATAAACGCACACTCAGAAAGAATAAGGGTATACAAGGAACTGAAAGTAAGCACCTTTTCCTCCTCCTATCTAGTAATTCTTGTCTGGCTCCAGTAAACATTATGAAAAATCAGGGTAATAAATTAACACTTAGCAAAAGACTTCGAAAAAAAACACACCTGGAACTCTGCATTAGGATCCTCAACCAAAGATGGAAGCTGAGAAAGGCAAATTTCAGCAGCCATGTCCCATGCATCCCTGGAGTGCAAAGAAGAAAAAATTTAAAGAAGAACAGAGAAACAAGTTGTAAAGTTAGTGAAGATCCCCTATAGTACCACATATGATGTTGATGGGTTGGTGGCAACACTGGGTGAGAAATTGGAGAACAATTTGCAGAGCGCATAATCCTCTCAGCAAGTAAGAAATTTCTGAACAAACTGGCAACCAGTAAATCTTGTCTAAACAATCTCTGAAAAAGGTCTGCATCACAGAAATAAGTGTTAATTAAATAGATCAGAAGACAAGAACTACTTATAAAAGAAAGAACACAGCAGAGCAGTACACTCAAAGAACTACCATGAGGGAGAACATTCCAGGCAATTGTGTCTGTCACTGCAGTGAAAATCCAATTCAACTCCCCTAAAAGTGTTTTACGGTCATTTTGGCGACCAGGAATTTTATCTATAAGCGAAAAGTCAAGAGACTCATGAAGCAATGAGCGTGTGCAAAACCTGGAAGATAACCATCAGAAGATTAGTAAGCCCATCTTACACATGGTTAACCAAATACATTAAAATTAGAAAAATCTGCAAATAATTAAAATAACGCAATAAGGCAATGTTATAAGATATCCAGAAGCAGCAAAAAGTAAATAGAGAAACATAGTAAAAACTAATTCAAAATGCAAATACCAAGAAGATCTTTAGCCTAGCAAATAGGCACATATTATTTGCATATAAAAGGTACTACTTAGTGTTAATCATATCACATAAAGCCTATTAAAAGACAGATCAACCTGACAGAAACACCTTATCAATCTTACAGTATATCCTAGGCCATGCTCACAGCAACTGATAATTACCAAAAGAGCAACTCCTGGAAACTGAATGTGAATTGTTTCTGGGCACCAAAGTGCAAGTAGAGAATCACTCCTCAAAAAGATAGGTACTTTCATGTTCTCTACATAGGTGAAAAAGCTACTTTGACCTCGATATCATACAAGGAGTTATTAAGCAGCTCTTGGTGAAACCTCACAGATCAAAGACATAAAACACTTTACAGCTAGTAGCGACTAAAATGACAGTGCATCTTAACATTTTACACAAAGCATCTCATACAATTTCAAATCTTCATAAATACAATCTTAAAGTGACAGTAACAATTCATGGAATTCTAGATTCCAACGGGAAAGAAAAAGAAATGAAGTATTACAGTTTACTAGTTTACTCCATAAAACATTAAAAAGACAAAAGCAATGTAAGAATCAAGCCAAAAAAACAAAGAGATGAACAATATTTGCAAGCCTGCAAGATGCATTTTCATGATCTTTCAACAGCATAAATACCCAAAGGCCAACATATCCCAAAAGAAAATAAAGACTAAAAATAGAAGAAGAAGTTTTACCATCTCAATGCCATTTTGATAGGTGTAGTAAGACAAGCAGTAAACACATCAGCAGGAAATTCAGCACTTTGAGGAAGAGTCTCATGTGCTTCACATGCAGCAAGAAGAATGCAGTCTCGTGCAGACCCAGGGTAGTTAGAAGTGCCACAATCAAGAAGCTATCAACCAAATTAAATTCAAAAATCATCTCAAGCTAGACAAAAAGATCAATTTCAATATTGTACAAACCAAATTATATACAACTGACAAATTGAGGATAGAACACAAGCAAATACCTCAATGAAGGCGTTAACAATCATTCCAGCAGCAGAGCAATCAAAAACATATATAGAAGGTGTTCTTAACCATGAATCAAGGTCATTGATAGGTAAGGGAATATACTGAGTATAAGTCTGCACAGGACAATGATTAGACTGAGCAAGGACACAATTAGGCAGATAGCACAAACAAAAAGCAACAAGAATTATTCATAACAAAAGAACACCTTATTGAACAGCCAGATTTCACCATTTGCAGTTGGTTTCGGAACACCATGTCCATTATAATGAAATAGAACACGCTCAGACTTCGCATATCTTCGACATGTATTACAAAGTTTCTTCACTTCATCCACGATAGGATCAAGTTCAACCTTACAGCGAGCCTGGCCACATCTCAACAAAGAGCATTAGAGTATAAACTTGATAGAGTAACCTGGAAGAAACATAATTTGGGGCCGTGCTCACACCTTGGGCTGCCACCTCTCATATTGATCTCTCAAGTTTTTCCCAATAGTTTCAAGTGCTTTTTGTGGTGCCATAGAAAAGGGATCTGCCAACAATTAAAGAAAAAAAGTGTGGGACAACCTAACTTTCCCAATAAAAACATTTTTATTTTCATTTTACATCGTTTGGTCACAATGGGAGATGGATAATGGAAAAGAAAACATAATGGCAAACTTATTTTGTGTAATTGCAATACTAGGATTCCAATTTCATGTTCCTCCTTCCTTCTTGGCAACCAAATAAAGCATGGGTAGTACAGGAGTTATAGAGAAATAATAAATAGATAAGCATTCTTGAGACAGAACGCTGAATACCATTTTCATGAAGCGATAACCCTACTAAGAGCAATAACTTAAAACTAATTGTAGCTTTGGCCTTTATAACATTCAGAATTTCAGTTTCTTGACCCCCAAACTCAATAGTTCTTATTTCAACTTTCCATCCAATTTTCAGTTGCTTGTTTGCCACTACTACTTCGAACACCACACCACCAATTCAGTAAATACATGCTTAAACAAAGGTACTCCCACTGCTTCAAATTTATTTCCCTATTTTTAAAGCTAAAAGATTTGTAAAATATGTCAAAAGAGTTCAAACTACTTATAGTTTCACAATATTCCAGTTTCCACCCTACATAAATGGATGTACTACTTTTGTCCTCAGTTGATAAAAGGTTACAACAGAGAAGAGCTTAGTTGGATGTAAGAGGGTAATTAGTCTTGGATAGAAATTATAACAATTCTTTTCAGATATCTCAACACAAAAATAAGGAGAATTATTATGGAGCAGAGAGAGTAACATCCAAGGGCAAAATCATAGCCAATATCAACAATTCATTACGCTCAATGAAAGCTGCTAGCATTTAGTTCCTTTGGATGATATAATAATAAAAACCTTATAAAAGATTTCCTGAATCCAAACAATATCATGAGCATCAAAGTGTAAACAACCATTAAACAGCAACCGCAAATACAAGAGGAGAGAATTAACTCCGAAAACATACCTATCCAACACTCCATTCTTGCACAAGGAGATATCTTTATGACATCGGGTGGATCAACACTAATATTTAAACATAAAACTAGAGCTACACATCCTGTCTTCATCTGCATATAAAGTTGAGACTCAAGTGAAAATGGTGAAGCCTCCCATATCATGACAAAATTGAAGGGAAAATAACTCTTAATGGATTATTTATAAATATTTATCAAGAACAAGAAACAGTCCATGGTCCATACTAGTATTATCTAAGAATCAAATTCAGTCTCATGAAAAGAAAATTGCTTAATGTGTAGTAAGTAAACCAGACTACAGAAGTTGCTTAAGATAAAAGGGCAAATCTATTAAAGCATGCTATAGAGAGAGGAACGTCGACAAATTTGCAATGGTAGAACATAATTTCTCATTATTACCATTCTTCCTTGTTCACATGCTTAGGCTTTAGAAATTTCTTCAAGAAGACGTAAGAATCGTCCACCAATATTCTCCTCTCATTTTGCGTTTAAAATTCTAAGCTCACAATAAAAGATAAAATAGAATAGATTTCATCACAGCATTTTTAAAACCCAAAGCTAAAAAAGGTAGGGCAATGTTGCTTTACTACAGATGAAAAGAAAAAAGGATTGAACAAACTAAATATCTACTTCAAGGGCATCTACTCATCTGATGAATTCATGCCTAACCAACTACTTGAAATATGCTTCTCTATCCTCGGTACATCACAAGGCATAGAATACGCTGGAAGGCAAAAACAATAGCAGATTACTTATTGTACAAAGTATTGAACTTCCTAATAACTCTCATATTTTTACCCAGAACTAAATCAGAAATGGAATGCCTTTCATTGCCCTTGCTCACACCAAATTCAAGAATTTCACTGAAAACTAATTGACAGTAATAATTCCACAAAGCTAGCACATCTCAGAATTCCCCTCCCTTCTATCCAATGCACTAAATACATATTCACATGTTACTTTTATACCAAAAGTAACATGCCTGGGTTATGGATTAATTTTGGCAATTGTAATCTAGTACATATATCATTTCAAATAACCTATACAATAACTCAAAATTTGCATACTACTGATAGCAATAGAGAATTCCAATTATTTGCACAACACCCATCTTTTGCTACTGCAGTCTAAATGTATGCTCATTTTTTCTTCTTCGGCCTTTGATTAGATATAAAAACTCGGATCAAAGGTAGAATCAGAAAGAAACAAAATTGAGTTTGAAAGGAAAGGACTTACTCGGTCCTTAGGACGCCATTTGGAGACAAGGCCACTATCGGAGGGTCCAGTAGGCGTGGAAGCTTCAAAGGCAGCATGTCGAAGCTCGCATAAGACAATAGTTTGAGGCAAGTAAGCCATGCTTGTAGGCGCTGTGGCGGAAGAGGCAGCGGCATTGGTGTAACTGCTGGTGGTTGCAGTATCAAAATCTCTCCTTGAAAGGCCACGTCAGCAGCAGCATCATCCTCATGGTAGTCGCTGCTGCTGCCGTTGCCCTCGACGACATGATTGGATACCGCCAACGACAATGCGAAAACCGTGACGTCATCAGATCGCCCAATGCCATCCAAATCCCCGAAGAAACAAAACCAAAACAAAAAAAAAAACCCTCGGATGGAATTTAATTAGTAATAAAAAATAATCTCAACAAATTTGCCCCACACAAAAACCCTAGCCTTTTCTTGATACTGATCGACAAGAGAAAGAAAGAAAGAATACAGACGAGATTTAATCAACGAAGCCGCTGAACCAGCGGCGCATGGAGATTCGCCTGAGGAAAGAGAGAGAATCCAGCTCGGAAAGTTGTGGAAAGAAAAGAGAAGGAAAGAGAGAGGATTTCAACCACTAGAACAAACACTAAGTGACGCGGGCGCGACGGTGGTGGTGGTGGTTGGTGGCGCATAGAACAGTGGCGGCACAAGAAAAATTATATAAATTAAAAAAAAAAAAAAGAGAGAGAGGAGAGAGAAAAGGAGGGGACTCAACTCTCAAATTAGGATTTTGTCAAAAGCGAGAGTGTCTATGCGTTCCAGTGTTTGTGCGTGTGTTGCCGTATATTTGTGTTCTCTCTCTTTCCAATTTTTCCATTTTTTTTAGTTTGCAATTTTTTCTTTTACTTTTTCCATCTTATTAAATTTCATTAATTTTTTGGGGTCTTTTCTTCTATTCTATTTTCACCTTTGGCAACTAAAATAATTGTTACTATAAAAATTAGTATAATATCTCTTTCTAATTTCATATTATAACTCTAATTTCGAGTACTAATTTTTAACCTAAAAAAACTCATTTTAAATTTTAAAGAAAAAAAAGGAAATTGTTTTATTTTTTAATATATATATACATATATAGGAGGAACAAGCAGTTATTTCAGACAAGCAGAAACTTTAATTGTTATTTTAATGTTTCAAGATGTTATGGTTCATAGTTAAAAAAATAATTTTTGAGACACATAATGTTCTTAAAATTTATCTTTTTGTATTGAATATTGAATTAATATTTTACGCATTATTGATCTTCATAAACATATTTATAAAAAAGTTAAAAAATAAATTTGGTTACTGAACTTCATAAAATTATGGACTTCGATCTATTTTTTATATTTCGACAAATTAAGTCCTCAAATTATCATTAAATGTTGATTTATATCTTTCTATCAATAAACATCATTAAATTGACATTGTGGAAATTATATATTAACTTTTTACCAACAACGTGGCACATCAATCTAACAATTTTTTTTTTAATAAAAAATCACTAAAAATTAATGTGTTATGTATCTAGTTGCTAAAAAATTGCCATATAACTTGTTAGGTCAGCAAAAGGGTATTTTACAAGTGCATGTCATCAATTTAAGGGTGTCATCGAAAAATGGATTAAAATCGACATTTAATAAAAAGTACAAAAAACTTAATTTATTGAAATATAAGAAAACAGAAAAAAAATTATAATTTGATAAAGTACTGGACCAAATTGAAATTTTAATCGTTTATGAAATTGTCATGTGTGTATTTAATAATTATATTAATTCATAAATGCTTTTAATTATAACTTAAGGAATTTGTGATAACTCTCTAAACACGTTTACAATGTTTTTTTCCTTGGTTAAGACCTCTTCGTGGAGTTTGGAAGCTTCATTTGCCTCATGTATAGAATAAATTATTTAAAATATTTGTATGAAAAATCATAAAATTAATGAGAGAACTAATTGAGGTTTTAATGTCTAATAATAGAAAAAAAAGTATAATATCTAAATAAGTTTTAAAATTATTTTTTAAAAAATTTTATAACTTTTTTTTATTACGCTCAATTAATTTTATATGCTTTTATTAAAAATTAAATAAGTTATTTTATTTTTATTTTTAAGCTAAATAAATCGTTATCATTAATTATTAGTTTAGTTAAAATGACGTTTGTCACTTCATATCACATTACGTTAATATGATATATTGACATATCGTATAAAAAATGATGATGTAACATATTAATATAGCATAATCACATGATTACATGTACTTCACCTTTTACATCAGTGTCATATTAATGTTATGTGAATATGAAATAATAAGTGACATTTTAACTAATTATAATTAATTAATCAAATAAAAATATATGAACTTAATTAAATATGATAAAAAATAAAATGTTATTTAAATATTCTTAAATAATTTATCGACTTTGTTGAATATTATGTAAAAAAAATAGTAAAAAGAGGGAAAGAATACAAGATTAGCATAGTCAGATTATAAGAGTGCCTTAAATAAAATTGGATGAATAGTATTTTCCTTAGTAAAAATATTTTATAAGTAGTTTCTAAAATGAAATTAAATTTTTGAAAATTTTAATTTTTGTTTATATCTTTTGTAATTAAATAAAACATAAAAGAAAAACACCCTGGAAAGGGGAGGTGAAATTCGGAGATTTTGACTAGTTTCATGGCAACAAATCCAAATCGATGAGAGTCAATTAATTATTTATAATGTTTGTTATATTTATTATTACTCAGATAATATATTCCTTTCTTTTCTCTTTAGGGAAGTCAAGACCAAAGAGGCATGTAAAGGATCTCGGTCTTTAAATGAGTTGACATTTTCCTTCCCTATAATCTTCTATTGACCTTGTTACAGTTGAGGAAATTTATTTCACAATATTGTCTATCAAATTTTGTAGTAACTATTTTTTTCTTAATTAAGATATGTGAAATTGCACTCCTTGCATTTAACTCTAAGAGCTTGTTTGACTGAATTTTTTTTAATTTAAAAATTATTATGAACTTTTTATTAAAAAATAATAATTTTTAAAATTAAATTAAAACTATTTGATAATTTGTTTGATATAATAAATTATATAAGTTATAATTTTGATTAAAATTATTATAAATGGTATTCATATCATATTTAATCACTTAATAAATTAAAGCGGAACAAATCTGTTTCGAGTTTATAAATAATTTCATATGTTAAAATCAAACAAATCTATAAATAAACGAAACAACTCTCAAATTTATATAGAAATAATACTATTAGATTTTTATTAATCTAGTAAGTGTTCAAACCATGATAGTTCAATTCCTCTATAAATAAGAGAAAAAAAATGATGTATTTGATATTAAAATCATTTGGTAAAGAAGAAAGAAAACTTTTAAATAGTATTTGAATGTAAATTTGAATTTTAAATTTTTTTTCTTTTATTATTTATAAGAATCAAAAAAATCTTAGATTTTGCTTATTGTGTCTTTTGTTTTTTTTTCTAATAATAGTTTTAAAGAAAGATAAAGAGGAAAAAGATCGTGATTTGTGTTAGAAAATAATGATATGCAGATAAAAAGGAGAAAATTACCATAAAAAGCGATCTTCACTTTCTTTAGCCTTATGCATTTTAAATTTATAAGTAATTACTTAAGTTTTGAATTCAATATTTTTTAAATTTAGCTTGCTTTTTTTTTTTTATCAAATTCAACTTAAGCCTCTTTGAATGGCAAATGTGTCATTTTCAATAATAGTCAAGATCATATTAATAAACTTTTTAACTATTTCGAATTCAAATTAGCTTTAAGCCGGTGAAATGTTACAAGTGCAATTTTCTTTTATATATATATATATATATATAGATATATACACTATTAACATAAGGAAACATTGTTATTTAATTTTGAAACAATTCGTGTTTCTAAAAACAATTATGTTTTTGATAAATCATTCAAAAATTTTAAAATATTAAAAAATTAAAATTTTTTAACGGCTTAAGTTTTTTCAATGCGTTTAATAACCTGCTTTTAGAAACCATTAATAGGAATATATGTCAATAAAAAATGCTGAAAATTTAAAATAGTTAAAAGCTTCTTAATATATTTGGTCATCTTAGTTAAGAAAATTTTGGTCATATGTTATATTCTTTATTTAACTATTTCTTATTTCCTTTTTAACTTTTACGAATGAAATTGTAAAATCGATAATTAATTTTCAGCAGGATGGAGGATGATGGGTGGAGATACTAGTCTGTTTTTATGGTGCAGTTAAATTTGATGATACGGTAAGCCTTGTTCACGCAGAAATAAATAAATGCTATTTGAGTTGGCTCCAGATTCATGGATTGGACTCTAATCTATCATTCTTCCCTTTTGGCTATTAAGGAACTTTAACTACAATTGGCTTTCAAAGTTTATTACGATTAGGGTGAGCATGGTTCGGTGGGTGGTCCTGAAATTGGAATCCCAGCTTACCCATGCAGGGTTGGTCTTCAAAAATTAGGACTACGAGTTGGTCTATGCCTTCACAGCATCGACTCTAGAGCCAATCCTATAACTTGGTGCAGTTCAAGGTCAACTTTAAATTTTATAATTTTTTTTAAAAATTAATAAAAAACAATAATATTTTTTATTATATATGTAAATTAATTCATAAAATATTATAAAAAAATTATAATTCGTTTATTGATTTGTTGCTAAGTTTTATTATTTTTAAAGTCTTGTCATTTTGTTTAGTGTTATTAGTAACTTATTTATTTATTCATTTATTGTTTATATTGAATATATATACGTTTTAAGTAAGTAATTCTTTAACTTAACGATTAAAAACTTTTAAACAAGATATTTTTTAATGGATTCAAATCTTACAATTTGAAAATATTTAATTTAGTTTTTATATATAGCTTTTAAATGATCATAGTTTTAAATCGGTCTAAAACTCGATTGTATGGTTTGGTTTTTCGGTTTAACAAGTGTGGGTAAACGTCTAGGATCATAAACCATTTAAAAAGTGTCAATCCTAAAAGATTTGAATTTTTTTTTTTGAAAAGAGAAATTTATGGAACCCAAATCAGACAAAATAGAACACAGTTGTCTGTGACCCTTGGTTATGACATAGTGAGGTCCTAAAAATGGGATTGCCCTTTTCCAATCAGAGCAAAATCCATTGAGATGTAAGCATTGAGTTTCTGATTCACTATTTGATTTTGAGCTTATGATGAAAATAGAACAAAAATAGAATAACAAGGATTGACCAATAGAGATGTAAGTAGTGAGGGTATTTATTATTTTCGAGGTATTCAATCCAAAGCCATTTAATTATC